CCTCTCAACCTGTATCCTGTGGGAGCAGATGTAGTTTAGGGTCTTAGAGGCTGTATGGTTCACAAAAAGATGAAGGAAAGAAGCTAAGAGAAAGAGCAGTGAAAGACCAGCCCTCAGCTCAGCAGGTCACTTGGCACATAGACACACACACACACACACACACACACACACACCTAAATCTAAATCTGTCCCTGAGAGAAGACATGGTATTCATCTTTCTGAGTCTTGCTTATGTCATTTAACACCATCTCCAGTTCTGTAAATCTTCCAAAAATATCATTCTCTTTTTTCCCCTTTTAAGGTTGACTTTTTATTGAGTGTTTATTTTTAGCTATGTATGTGGAAATGTGCATGAGGGTGCAATTGTTGGTAAAGCCCACATGCATTGAGCCCTCTCCACCCTGAGATATGGAGTTACAGGCAGTTGTGAGCAGCCTAGCGTGGGTGTGGGGAACTGAACTCTCATCCTCTGCAGACTCAGTTCTAAGCATGTACTTAGAACCTCTGAACCATCTCTTCAGTCCTCATTTATTTGATTATGGCTGAGTGAAGTTCCACTCTGCATGTGTGTATCACATTTCCTTACGCATTTGTCTGCTGACATGTATCTAGCTAGCGCCAAGTCTTAGTTATGGTGGATAGTAAACGAATAAACATAGACACAAATGTCTTCGAGTATGTTGACTTAGAGTTCTTTATGTATATATACCCAGGAGTGTTAGGGCTCGTTCATGTGGTATATGGTAGTTCTATTTTTAGTTTGTTTTCTTAAGAAAACATTTTAACATATCATTATGTGCATGTGCACACGTGTGTATGTGTGTGTGTGTGTGTGGTGTACTATAGAACCCAAGGAAGCTGCGTTCTGATGTCAGTGAAAGAATATAACAGCAGCAGCAGTGACAGCAACGGAGCAGATGTGCTTGTCAGCAAAAGTAAAGGGAAATAGCTCAACAGTAGGCCATTGTCCTTTCTTGACATCCTCGCTATTGTTTGTTCCTTACCGGCTTGATGTCAGCTGTTCTAACTGCAGCGAGATGGAGTTTAAACTGCTTTAATGTACATTTCCCTGATGGCTAAGCATGCTGAGTCCTCTTCACATTTACTGGCCACTTCTAGTTTTACTTTTGAACTGTTTATTCTGTCCATGAGCTCGATTTCTTTATTCACTGAATGACTTGGTTTTATTGGTATTCAATTTTTAAATACTTTCAATAACCTGGATATTAATCCTGTGGGAACTATGTAGTTTATGAAGATTTTTCTCATTCTTGTGATGTTTTTTTCTGGCTGTACAAGAGCTTTTTAATTTTTTTAGAATCCCATATACCAACTCTTAAGAGTTATTTTCTGGGCTGTTAGAAGCTTTTTTAATGTTTTAAAATCCCATTTACCAATTCTTAGAGTCATTTTCTGGGCTGTTAGATTATTTTTTCAGAAAGACCTTGTCTATGCTCCTTATTGGTGTTTATAGCCGTTTCAAGGATTCAGGTATTAAATTAAAGTCTTTGGTTAACTTTGAATTGATGTTTGTACAGTGTAAGTGACTGAGTCCCATTCCTATATAAGAACAGATAACAAGATAGATCTTCAGTTTCTCCAGCACCATTTGTTGAAGACTCTGCCATTTTCCCAAATATACTTTAATATCTTTATCAAAAACTAGGTGACTACATTTCTGCACGATTTCTGTATCCTTTATTCTGGTGTTTGCACATGTCTTTCTTTATGTTACTAAATGCCGTTTTAGCTGCCATGACTCTGAAGTATAGAGGAGTCTTGAGTGAGACTATGGTGAAACCTTCAGTATTGTGTTGTCCAATAACCATTGTGATAGTCAGGAATTTTGTGATTCCACGAGAATTTCATAATTATTTTTCCTTGTCTTGTGAAGAATTTTGTTGGGATTTGATGGGGCTTATTTTTAATCTGCAGATTGCTTTTGGCTAGATAGCCATTTTCCCAATGTCTTCTTCCTACCCTTGAACACGGGAGGCCTGGAAAGTGTCTTCGATTGACTTCTTTAGTTCTAACACAGAGGTCTTTCATCTCTTTGGCTAAGTGCCTAAAGCTGTAAATATGATTCTTTCCTTGCTTGGATCTTGGGAATATTTTGATTTGCCTACAGAAAGGCTGCTGAGTGGTCTGTGTTCACTTTATACCACGAGACGCTTCTGAAAGTGTTTGTGAGATCTAAGGGCTTTCAGGTGAAGTCATAGGGCTATTTAACTATTGGAGTATGTCATCTGCAAATAGTGGCACCTTGACTTCTTCCTCTCCCCTCTGTATTCATTTTAGTTTCTTTCTCTTACATTTTTGCTTTAGTTAAGACTTCAGGAATTATATTGAATAAGAACAGCGAGACTGGACCCTCTTGTCTCATTCCTGATATTAGGGAAAAGTGTTCATTTTTTTCTCCATTTAATATTATTTTGTATGTAAAATTATTGTATATAATCTTTAATATATTCTTTTTATTTCTATTTTTAAGGGCTTTTATCAGGAGGGATGTTGAACTTTGTCAAAGGTCTTTCTACATCTATTGAGACGATGATGTTATTTTTGTCTTTTAAGTCTCTGTCTGTTGCCTTAGTATGTTGAACCAACCTTTCCTTCCTCGCCTGGGGTAAGACCTGCTTGGTCATAATAGATGTATGACTGTTTTTATAATTTTTTAAAAAAGAATTTACTTTCATTTTATGCATATGAATGTGTGTGGCATGTATGTATGTGTAACATGGACATGCCTGGTGCCCTGCAGAGACCAGAAGAGGGCATCTTACTCGCTGGAAGTGGTAGATGATTGTGAGCCAACACGTAGGTGCTGCGAATCCAGGCCTTCTGTTATGACTCATGGCCACGGGGCCATCTTTCCAGCCCCATATGTGCGATTCTTAGTATATTCACAAGAGTGTGATTTGTAAGAATTTTGTCTCTGTTCACCAGAGAAACTGGTCTGTAGATCTTTCTCTGTTTCTCTTTCTCTGTCTCCCTCTCTGTGCATGGATGCGTGTTTGTGTTTTATTGTTTTATGTCCTTATCGAGTTGGTATCAGAGCAATACCGACTTTGGAGAATAAATTAACGCTTTGCTTTCTCTATTTATCAAACAATTTTGAAGAGTATCACATTGTCTTTAAATCAGTGGTGGACAAATTATGGTATGTTGAAGGAGTTATGTTACCTTGCCTTTTTATATTTATTGTTTCTGTGATGTGATTTATGCATATGTCTTTCCGTTTTATTTGGAGATATTCCTATGAGTGCCATAATCTTGGGGTCCCAAATTTTCATTTTTATACTTTCAAATTATATCATCCTGTATTTCTGAAATTCATTATTTATAGAAGGGCTAGTAGTTACTTTTTCTTACGAACTGTCTTGACTTATCTGGGCCCTAATGTGATTGTTGGTCTGATGGTTAGAGAAACATTTTTGAGACTTCCTCTAGTTGTTTTTTCAGCAGAGGTTGCATTTCACTTATCAAACAGTGAGTCCAGCATGAAGTGGGGTTCTGCTATGTAATCTGTTGTAATTTTTCAGAAAATAACTTCTTATAGATGCAGTTCTACTCTAACATCAGGTTCAAGTTTGGGAGCAGGAAGCTGATGCTGAGTAAATTCAACTACATTATGTCACACGGTGATGCTGACTTAGGACTCACTATTTTTAAAAACTTGCTCCCACTAGCCTAAACTACATCAGCCATGCCCGTTTTCAGTAGCTGGAAAGTTTTTAAGTTAGACTTAACCCACAAAACTTTTCTCCCACTTTCTTTAGAATTCTATTACTCAGATTCTGTGAAAACATTTAAACATATTGTTGGCTTGAAATTCCACCATCCATGAGGTTCTATTAGCTTTTATCATTGGTCCCCAGTTTTGCTCTCCATGAGTTTTCTTTTCTTTCTTTCTTTTGTCAAATGTAAGATCTTTACGAGATTTGCTTCCTAGTCACTGAAGACTGTGATTGGTATCTGAAAAGCAGTATTCATTTGGAGAAAACTTTCAAAAGTTCAAATGTTGCCTCCTGTTCAGAGGCACATTCTGCAGGGAGGAGAGGTCCATGATTTCACAGGTGATTTCAGACTCGGAGTGTCTGTTTTTCCGCCGTAATTAAGAAGCACAGGAAATGTTTGTGTTTTTGTTGCCTCAGGACTTCCGTCCTGCCTAGTTGCAAGAAGGGGATGTGAAAACCACTGTCCTTCATCTGTCTTCCACTTCCATCCAGAGGGAGGAATGCAGCTCGCAGACCATCTGGACTTTGTCTGACTTTGATAACGCTGCTCATGGGAGTTCTAAAAATAAAGGCAGCGCTGTGGCGACCAGCAAGCACAGCTTGCTTCATCTTGTTTTTCCCTGGTAGCCATGGGCCTTGTGTGGTGGCTTCTGCGACTCGGAGCCCAGTAAGTGGAGCTGCTCTGCTCCCATGCCTGGTGCATGCTTGAACACAGACTGAATTTTGGGGACTAATTAATGCTTGGCTTTCCCAAGGAGTCTGTGTTCTGCAAGTGTGACATTTGAGACACGTGAGGAGGATTTGCACCTTTGGGAATTAAGCTTTGGAAATGGACTAGGAACGCATTGTTGAGTAAGGAAGCTGTTATATATTGGTAATCTTTAAACTTCAAAACAGCAAATAACAAACAATACTGTTAAGTAGGAAGTTTGATTCTGCCAGACATGGAAAGGCTGGCATTGGTTTTGATATCAGGAATTTTCATTCTCTGTTCATACCCAAGGACTTTGAGGCAGTGTGCATTTTTTTCTCTGTTGGTCTAGATTTATTCTGAACAAATATGGATTTTACAATATACAATGCTAGATTATATCCCAAGATAACACTTGTCTTTCCAAAGACTTTCTGTATGTAATGGGGAATTGAGTTTTCTCTGACATCTTTTGAGCCAGGGAGATGGTCTCAAGGTGGTTAATAAACAGAATTCACATGTTAGTTACTCTTGTAGCTTAGCCTTTTTATTTTTTTTAAATCTTTTTTCAGATACTAGCTCAATCATGTACTGAAATCCTGGAATTGAGTCCTTCAAGTGTCTGTGTTGGGGGTAAGTGTTTAGAATTTCTAAGTACTATGTAAGAAATTGTTTTTTCCCCTAGCTAAAATATATGATTTAAAACTCATGTTGGAAGGAGAATAGCAAAATTAACTTTTTTGGCATCTTTTTTTGTGTAAGAAATTTTAAATAATTCCTTGAAATATTTCTATTTTAAATTCAAATTTTTAAGATTCGAGTGTTATTTTAAATAATGAGCATATTGTGCAGCAGGCTTTTATAATGTTCTGTATATTTAGTTCATATTCGAGACCGTTCCTATGGCAAATAAAATAAAATGTGGAATCTTTTGTCTGGTTGAGTGGCCAGGTATGCGAAGGTGCAGAGCTGCCTGCTCTGTAGACCTGGCCACGTATGTCACCGTATCTACCAGCTCCAGGCACATATGGAAGTGACTTAGGGGAAGAGTGCAGGAAGGAAGCAGGTGGCGTCATCAGCTGCTGCTCAAGGCTCAGGTCCCCACCTCCCAGACATCCTTGCCCAGACAGTCTGCTTCGCCCTGGCCTCATTTCTTCTTCCCTTTTGACCTGGAGTTCATTTTGGCAGAGCTTTACTTAGAAAAGGAGAAATGCTGAGTCTGGAGGACAGGGAGACTGTATCCTGGACTTCTGCAGAGCATCATAGTTAGTGGACAGGTTCTTGCTCTCTGCATCCTCTAGCTTCCTAATAAATGGTCATGGAGATGCCAGGCAGGAAGAGTACACAAGGACATTCCCGAGCAGTGGGGTCTTTTCTAGACGTAGAGACGATTAGTTTCACAGAGAGAAACAAAGACAACTCATTAAAGCAGCAGATTTTGTTGTTGTTTTTAGACTCCATCTTAGTGCACCTTCCTGACTGTGTCCTTTGAATATACAGTTTTACCTAATCACCGTAACAATGCTACCTCGAAGTTGTGTAATCCCTCAGTCTTCAGATGGAGAAAGGGAGGCAGAGACAGATTTGGTATTTGCTACTAGTCAATGTTCTTTAGGTCCTTGCCCATCTGACAGCAGCGCCCATGATTTCACTGAATTACGTTTTAGGTTTTACCTGTACTATGTGAGAACTTACGAGTAACCCTCCGTGACTCAGTGAGTGGGGAGCGGCCGGTAGGTTTAGCTTGGGTAGCTGATGACAGCTTGAGTGTGGGACAATGTCGGGAGGGAGAAGTTTGAGAGGACAGAGGGTGTTAATGTGAATTAAGAGGAAAGAAATCTGAGCGTAAAAGTCCATTCAGACATCACAAGTGGCCTCTGCTTGATTCGTAAACTTCAACAAAATCTGAGCTATATTTTTATAAATACATGTACTGAAAACAACAACCAAAATAAACAAACAAAACAGAACTTCAGCTCGACCAGTCAAAAGCAACCAATACATTTAGAATATAAAGTAGGAACTTTCCCACAAGAGATAGATCTATGATGTGAATGTGTGGGCCTCTCTCTCTCTCCACAAGTGTGTATGCTTGCACTATTTCTATGTTCTTTCTAGAAAAAACTTTGCTGAATTTATTTATTTAATTTTTGGTGGAGCTCCCAAACTACCCTTCACTGGGAGCTGCCAAATTCCTCAACTGTAATTTGATCAGCTCAATTAATTCTCTGACATTTCTTATGGTTCAGTTTGTCCTTGGGACAAGAGGCCATCACTGTTGCAATGGCTTGTAGTCAAACTATCAGAGAGTTTGTCTGTCAACTTTCCTCGTGGTATATTCTTTCATTCTCTGACATTTAGTGTCTATTCTTACAGTGTAGATAGGGAGACAGTAAATCAACTTCCTCTAGGCACCGTCACGGCTGTCGGTAACCCAGGAGACAGAACCTCTATTAGATTTTAAGTACATTTCCTTTGTGTACCACCTGAACTTTATGCTGAGAGTGGAAAGAGAAAGAGAGCATTCTTTTTTCAAAAGGTTGTGAGAACAGATTTCTGGGAATTGAGATAAGCCAGGTAGTTATTACTATATTTTAATTCTAATACCTGGGTTACTATTAGAAAACACTCAAAGACCAGATAACAGCTCCATGTGACAGTGAATGTCGTCTCTGCTGTACCCACCTAGACAATCTAGAGAAAGCAATCTTGGCTGGAGTCGCATCTTCATGGTTGTCGGTTAAGAGGAGAGAATGAAGAAATGTATTCTGAAGCTCTTGATGCTTTGGTTGTTTTCAGTGAAACACTGGTTACAGTGCTTGCCTTTCTTTTTATCTCTAGAGGAGTTTCAAGTTGTTCTGAGTGGGAGAGCAGTCACATCCAGCAGTCATGACGGCAATGTCCTCTGCACGTTCACCGTGAACAGCACCTACTCGAAGAGTGAGTCTCCGGGAATCCCATGGCACATGAATGTCTTTACTGCACACAATCTTGAGGAATTTTGTGCTTTTAAAAGTATTTATTTTTATTTCATGTGTACGAGTGTTTGCTTGCACAAATGTTTGTGCCTACCGAGAGCCTGGTGCCTCCAGAGCCCAGAAGACATTGGATTCTTTCACATTGGAATTAGAGATGGGGTGCTGGGCTCCAAACCCAGGTCCTCTGGGAGAGCAGCAAGTGCTCTTAGTCATTGAGTCATTGAGCCATCTCTGCAGCTGGGATATTTCTCTCTCTCTCTCTCTCTCTCTCTCTCTCTCTCTCTCTCTCTCTCTCTCTCTTCTTCCATTTTCCCTCTCTCCCTCTTTCTTTCTTGAATTAAATCCTGCCATGCTACAATTTTTCATCAGAGAAGTAATGAAACCTCCTTAGTAATACACAGAGTAATAATTATTTATTAGTGACAACATTTGTTCATTACTTCATAAACTCTAGCCCATGCCCTAAGCAATGTCAATATTCAGGAGATGGTTAGCTGTGAGTAAAATGACCTTCCTCCTGTGGTTAGACAGCTAATGACAGGCGCAGCTAAAAGTACCTGCATCCAGGTTTTGGACTAAGGACATCAGTCCTGTGATCAAATGTCCCCTGTCTAGACTTACATTTTGCTACTCTTGCCTTAAAAAGGAATTGTATCATTGGACTACTTCACTACCTGTTGCCTTACAATTACTGTTTTTACCATCTCTTCTCTACATTTTTGTGTCCAATAACTTTTCAGTTTCTTTAATTTCTTTCAGTATTGTTTGGTTTGGCTCTTGTGCTCTTGGCCTTTCAGGCCCTCGGTGTTCACCAGATCGAGTGGGATGATGTCATCTCATCAGTAGGACTTGCTTTCCTGAGTGTGTTGGTCTGCTAGTAAAACATTTTTTTCCCCAATCAGTGTGTATTTTTGCCTTTAATTTATGAACTCTGGTCTAACTGTTTTTAACGAGATTCAGCTGTAGCTTTGCTGTTTCTCTAATGGTATTGAGATCAGCATCAGGTTTGGCAATAACCAGCCACTTGTGTGCTTGTTGGATTAAAGTGGGGAGAGAGTTTCAGCATGGTAAATATGGTCATTATTCTCTGTTCTCCGTAGCAGGAACACCATTGGATTTGGGCTAAACTCGTAATACATAACACAGCTGAGCAGGGATGACTAACTTTATTTCTATTCCGTAGTTATTAGTATGTAAGCGCTAGATTTACATGACTTCTTTGGATTGCATATTTGGGCTGATTATAATATACACATTGACGAGAGTCACTTTGTTGACAACTCTCAATTTGGTGGGGGTCAAATTGTTTTTTTTATCACTCACATTCTTAGCCAATCCATTTGCTTATGTAAATGTTTTCAGCCATTTCATTGCCAGATGAATTTTCACACTTATGCGAAAGCTCCACGGGGGTTAAGCACCCAGCTTGCTAGGATGTGCTCATATGGTGTAGAGATAGATATCTTGTCAACTTACCCACAAGTCTTTGGAAGTTCTGCTTCTTAGAAACAATATCTACTTTATCTTTGAAAGTCTGATATATTTGAAACAGAGAAAAAGTTGTATCTACAATGTATACTATTAACTTAGCTAAAAAAAGAATCCAAACTTAATGATTTATCTTATCTTTGCATCAAGATGTTCTAACTCTTCATTTCTCGGTTTTACCTTTTTAGCTAGGCTTTAACAGATGTTGCTGACCTTTCTTGTATTCCCCACTGAAGTCTTGTTTTGTAATGCTTGCCTTTTTCTTTTTTTTGAATGAGGCTGTGCTAGAGATATACATACAACTCTTTACTAACTAAATCGCATTTTATTTTCTTAGGTGAAAAACCAGTACTTGTTCAGTACAATTCCATACTTTGCCCTGCACCTGTCCTGCACAAGGCTGGAGAGTAAGTACTCCACCAACAACTCAACAGGGATGTTTAGCTCCTGGGCTGTGTATATGTGTGTATGTGTATCTGTATGTGTGTGTGTCCTCACTCCTGATAACAACTCTTCTTCACTGATTAAAAACAAACAACAACCAAACCAAATCAAAACAAAACCCAAATGCAACAAATAACTATAAAATGACAATTCACATTGTTACTTTTGTTTGTTTATTCTGTCTTTTAAGGACAAGGTGTAGGGTGACCTCAAATTTACTAAGTTTGGTCTCAGTTTACTAAGTTTACTAAGAGGCTGCCTTTGAATTCCTGGTCCTCCTGCTTTTACCTTCTAATGCCAAAATTGCAAGTGTGCAGCCACCAAGTCTGATTGTTAAATTTATTATGAATAATTTTTAACTGTACTAAGTGGGTCTCTGCAGCCACCATAGTTAGCAGAATAAGGATCTAGGAAAGGCAAGAATGCAGTTTGGTTCGACACGACTAAGGAGCTTGTGATGGTTCAAACTTCGGGAGCCTGACTTTGAGCAGTCTATTTCAGGCATATATAAGCACAGCACAGTTTGGTGAAAACTTTCCTGGTGATAATTGATTCAGTCCCATGTGCACCATAAACCTTAAGATGTGATGCTTTTGACACTCTTTGTAAAGTAGATGTGGCACATTCCATAAAGATATGTTCTATTGATTGACAAGCTCACAGTAAAGATCTTGGGGGAGATTCTGGAGTGGTCTTAGCAACACAGATAATGCAATAGGATACCATGCTACTAACCAGTTCAGCTCCCAACCTTCTGGCAGGATAACAGGTTATGTATTCCTTCCTTTGAAGGAACACTCCTGTGTGTTTAGCATTCCTATTGGTCCTAGTGCTTACCCGTGAGCACAAAGACATTAGTGCCTCCCACACTGCACAGATTGAACGTTAAACTATAAATTAATACTAAAACCGTAACCTCAATAGGTTGAAGATATTAATGTGTACTATATATTGGTCATGAATATTGATGAAATATAATCTAAAATTGCACAGATGAGTTTGAGAATCATTGTGAAAACTTCCAGATAATCAGTCACACCTCTTCTTTTGAACTTCAGAGTACTGAATGTTCACACACGTGCACACACACACAGAGTTCCAAAGTAAGATTTTTTAAATATTTGCTATGAAATTTAATAATTATTAAAGATAAAAGCAAGTGGAATGTGGTTCATGGTACATATGATTAAGCACACATTTTCATTAATTTCTATCTTAATTCTGTGTGTGTGTGTATGTGTGTGTGTGAGACTGTAAACCCTCATGATAACTGGTTAAAATCAGCAACTTTTAGTTCAGAAGAAGGAATTTTATTTGATTAGTCAATGCACAGCAATTTTTATAGTAAAAGTATTTCTATCTGATTTTTTCTCATGCTCCTTAATATGCAGCAAATAACTATATAAGGTTGAGATGTTCTCTATTTGATAGCAATGACTGCAATAGTTCAGAATGCTGATCCGACGGATGGAGTTACTTAATGTTCATCTTTTCACAGAGCATAAAATTATTAAATACCAAAAGCTAAAATCTCAATTCAAAATTAGTGTTCACACTTTGAAGATTATGTTTCCTTGCACGGAATCAAAGAGAACGGTTTTCGTATTTTGCAGTCAGCTTGAGTACTTGGCTTTTGTGAAAATGTCAGCACTCACTGTATTTGGAAGTTATCGAACATCACTCTGGTCATGCAAATCAAATCAAGTTGTACCAGTTTTATATTTTTTTTTTAAAAAATGGAATGGGCTATACCATACAACTTCAGAAGTAAGACTAATATTCAATTTTGTCTGTGTTCTGTGTGATTGTCTAGTGTCAATGACGACCTGCCTATGGCTGAATCAGACTTTCTGGTAGTTTTAGTTTTTCATGTATAGAAAGTGTATAGAACTCAGTGATTTTGTTGTATTAGCCATGAAAATCCACTAGAGTTTGGATCTGTTTACTAGAACTTGGAATGTCCCAGTCTCAAGTTATACTTTAGTCTTTTTATTGGTTATAACTTCCTTGTTTTTTTCTTGTCATTCAGGTAAAAAACTTTTTGAATCCTCATTGATTTGTTCCTCATTTATGCTCCACTCTTCAGTGAGCTCACCTGGCACTTACTCCCGAAACGAAGCTTCTCAGCTCACAACCTCCACTACTGTCATGCTAGGCAAAGTCATGTCCTCTCATGCTGCCATCATCCATCTCTCTGTTTGCCTCTCCGTTTCTACCCTTGACTTCAGGGGTCCTGTTGAAGTAGATAGCCTGTGTCACCCCTTCGGGAAGGATTACTGGGATTATCTTCCTCACACACACACAGGCAGAGTTGGCAGTGTTCTCCTAAGGAACCAGACCCTCCCTTCCTCAGACCTCATCTCTTCGTTGCTTCTTTGCTCTGCTATGGCCACACTACCCTTTCTCATATCTCCTAACACATCAGTTTACACTTCCATCAGTGCTATTTGACTTGCTGGTCCCTCTTCTTGAAATGGTATTTTTTATCTCCTTAAGTCTTGTTCAAATGCCGCCTTCTCGATAAAGTAAAAGCCCTTCCTGGGTACTCTTTCTCATTAAGTGACCCCCTTATTTCCTTTACATGTTATGATTTTCCCCCAAACCTTTATATTTATTGCATCTCCTTTCTGTTAAGACAACTGCTACTGAGTCTTGTTTCTTGTAGACTCCCTTGCATTTACCCAGTGCTCACCACTCAGTAAATTATTAGGAATTGAATGTTGACAGAGGTTTCTGTCCTACCCAGTTCTCACATTTGTTCAGTCCTAAAGAATCACAAAGAGGTATACGCTAATCATAAACTGGTCGGCCTATTAGCTCAGGCTTCTTATTAATTCTTATAACTTATATTAGCCCATAATACTTGCCTGTGTTAGCTACGTGGCTTGGTATCTTTTTGGCAAGGCAGTCACATCTTGCTTGCTTTGTGTCTGGCTTCCTCTGTGGCTGATTGACGACTGCAGACTGAAACTTTCCTCTTCCCAGAATTCTTGTTGCCCCACTTCTACTTCCTGCCTGGTCACCCCACTTCTACTTCCTGCCTGGCCACTGGCCAAACAGTGTTTATTTAAAATACCAGTGATGGTACAGACCATTTTCCCACAGCAATTTAATTATTAATAGTTAGTAAATTTTAGTGTTAATTCACCAAGCATTTGATGGTTGAAAGGCGATTACATTTTTCTCAGATAGTTTTGTTTACCCATAAAGATAAAGAGTTAAAAGAGGTCATTTGATTTCTTATGGAGGGACAGGGCTAAAAAAAAAAAAAGGTCAGAATTTTATTTTAGCATTAAGTACCATTGACAAAGACAGAAATTTATGAAACTTTTAAATAAGTGAATGACTAAAGAGGACAGTTCAATTATTCTCTCATATAATTATAAAATGAAATGGCATGCAATTTATATTTATAGATATATTTAAAATATGCCAGACATTAGTTAAACTTTAAAAAGATACTTTGACTTTTGCTTATCACTGTATGTGTGGGTGTGCCTTGCAGGCCAGTCCTGTGCACCTGCCATGGTATACGGGGAAGTCACAGAATATCTTTTAGCTTTCCTTCCCTCATGTGGCACTCAGGGATCAAACTCGCAGCAGGCTCCTAGGCCTAAGCTTTTTTTCTCTCTCCTTGAATAGTGTACTGTAGCCACTACTGACATCCTTTCATGCTTTGCAGATAGGATAAATACTTCAGATACACAATTTTAAAAATTACATACATAATGATAAATATTGGGTGTGAAAAGCCATTATTTATTTAGTTTTTGCTGTTAGTATTTTACTTATAGGTACAGAATGTTCAGGGATGGAGATCCATCTGAAAGAATTGCTTTTGAACCATTTTATTTTACTTTGGCATCAGATTCTAGTTAATCGTGGAGGCACTTTTCGGGAACATTGTGATTATTTCCGGTTCTGGGAGGCATCACCATTTGCTCTGCTTAGTAAGCTGCACACAATTTAGACTGTTTCCTTTGCCTTGACTTCTCTTCAGATACTTTCTGTAGGTGACTAAGTCTTCTGAGATTGAATCAAAACCAGCAAAACTGAAACAGTGTAGCCTTGTAAGGAGACTGATACTTAATATGTTTGCCTAATTGCCTCTTGGCTAAGGATTCAACCCCATTAAACAGCTAGTTAGTCTGTGTTTCAAATAAACACATCTGGCCTGTGAGCGAAGGAAGGCTTCACTGTGAAGGTGACAGATGTGGCGATGGGTCCCCCTGTTCTCTCACCTAAATAATTAACAATGCTCTGGAGAAGGAGTCCTAGACAGACAGATGCATGGTCTCAGAGCAGGCCCAGAGACACGTGCCTCAGCTCATTAGTCGGCCCCATTAGTTCTTCTCTCATCTTCCTGTTGTAGTTTTTGAAGGTGGTTGTGGATTTTGATTTAAATGAGGGCTAAGGTGGATGTTTACTGGGAGGCGGGACTAAGCACTTGCATTAGAATAGCTGAGACGTCTTATATTCAAGTACTGATGTTTTGAAGTAACAAATGTTACAAAGACTTGAATGTGGCAAAGGGATTTGTAGGGCTGAGGTTGCGGGGGAGTTGAGATGGGCACCATCAGGATGGATTATATGTAAGGATGAAGCTGTAAACTAGCAAACTTAATTAATAAACAAGTTTCAAAACAAAGACATTATAAAAAAAACCTATCTGTGCAGGTTTTGTCTAGGAGGAACTAAGCAGGCCTAGAGTGGAGCTTTGAACAACTTGCTTTGAAAGAGATCAAAGTCTGCTAAATTTACTTGATACAGATTTTTGGTTAAGATGAACAAATTCATAGGCTATGAAAAAGAAAGTAAGAGTGGAAGTAATTGGGCTTTCCTACTCTTCTCATTGGACACTGTTTCCTTTCACAACTTTGTCTACTTATGAAAACCGTCTTAGAAAAACTTTTGGTAGATTATTTAGTTTATGTGTATCAGTTGCTCGTTTGTGGCAAGCTGC